CGAGGCCACCGCGGGGCGGGCGGGGAACCTCGGGCCAGGGCGGAGCGTGGGGACGCGCGCCTCGCTCCCCCGGCGGCACCCTGGCCGGGCCGCGCTCCCGCCTCCGCGAGTCCAGTTTGGAACTCGAACCACGCAGTGGCGGAGCGGAGAGGGGGAGACCAGGGGCTGCGGTTAGGGGACGTTCGGGGGTGCGGAAGCCTCCCCGCGCAGGCGGCCGGGACTGCGCTCGGCCCGCTTCCCCGCGGAGCTGGCGGGTTCCGAGCCCGCCGGAGGACGCGGGTGCGCGGGATGGGGCTCTCGGGGTGCCGGGGAAGCGGGCAGAACGCGGAGCCCGGGAGCGGGGCGCGCGCACCCCGGGCGTGCAGGTGCTGGTTACCTCCCCCCCTCCCCGACTCCCGGGGGGAGGAAAGGGAGACTAACGGGGGCGAGGGACGCGGGGCGGCCATTACCCGGCCAGACGCCGCCAAGGCCATTGGCGAGGTTTTAGAAACTGAATTCTGCTTATCAATTAAGTCGTTTTCTTTCCGCGGGAAAGTTGATTCAGGCTAATTAGCAAGGATGCGTGAGGATTATTATTGAGGATTAGAAAGATTCCTTTTCGCCTTGTCTGGCGTGTGTGTGTGTGTGTGTGCGTGAGGGAGAGAGAGAGAGAGAGAGAGATGGGGGGGAGGGTGGATAAAGTAGGCTTTGGAATCCCTCAGGCCTGGCTCCACTACCTGCTAGTTTGACCTCCAAGCTTCACTGTCCCCATTCGACAATAGCCTCAGTTTCCTCGTCTGTGAAATGGGACATTAATGCCAACTGGACAGGATCGGTGTGGAGAAGCCACTCAACACAGTCCCTGTGGTGTATGTTTAGTTTGTATGTTTAGAAGGCATTTTTATGTTTAGTTCTCCCCAGTACAGCGTGAACCCAGGGGAAGTTTCCGATTCCCCTGCGCTGGCCTCTCTGCACTCCCTCAGCTCCCCAATCATCGCGGCTCTAACCTCTTCAGCCTGTTGGGCTCAAGTGCGCCCCCTAAGGCCCAAGATTGCCTTGCACACCAGGTCTAGAGGGCAAAAGAACCCACAGCCCAGTTGGAGGTGGACGCACCACTCCCCTGCATCTTATGAAGAACCAGTAACCATCCTACTCTGTCCACCTTTTGGGAAGGTTGTAATTTTAGTTTTAACCGGGCGCTTTCCCCTTTGCTTGTCATTTATAAAGAACTCACCGCATGCTAACATAATCATAGTAGCCAAATTAAAAGTGAATGACTTGTTTATAAAATTTACTCTGGGAACAGAGCTGTGGAATATTAATTTAGTTTTAATCTCTGATGCACTCCAGCTGGCTCTAAATTATTTTCGCCTCAAACTGGTAGCACATAAATATGTAGCTGGCCTCCATCTCATAGCTTTCATGGATTACTTCATTTCCCTCCATTTATGATGATTCTTCCACCATTTATGAACCCACATTTGGGGCAAATGGAAGGTTGACTGTTGGTCCCATAAACTTCCCATCGTCTTCCTTCACCTCCTTCTGTGCAAGGCCCTAATGTTATATGCTGAGCTTCCAACAGGCCAGCCTCGAATGGGTTCCATCTCACATATTGATCTTAGAGGAAGCCTCACACTCAGTGCCTCCATGTACCCCCAGTGTACCCCATGCATGTTAATGTTCTACACTTGTGTCAGGACCTGGAGAAGGTGAGAAAGCTTGAAGGCTATGTGGTGGAGAAAGACAGGGAGCCTGGGGACAGGATGGTCCAGAACGGTCGCTGGTTCACTTAACGTGCTCTCTCTCTCTCTCTGCTCATGGGGTGTAGACTAGGATTTTAATACTCAAATGGTTATTTTGTATCTTATAGTTATGTAAATGCTAAAAGCAAACTTGGGGGTGG